AAATGTTGGGGGAAAAAGGAATGAAAGACAACTGTATATAGCAGAGATAGTGTAATAAGAGAGTGGGAAAGGGCAGAGGGTCAAACATGGGGTAAAAAACATATATATACATATGTATGAAAGTAGAAATGGAATATTATTGATGATAACATGCATGATTATTCTGGATGGGAAACCACATTTAGTATGTTGTGATGATGCTCAGGGAATGAATGTTAAGTAATTAAAAAAAAAAGTTGCAGGAGAAAAAAAATAAAACAGTAAAACTGTTCGTATCGAAATTTTTAAAAAATGCATATTTGATGACTGCAGTAAGCTATATAGCCCCAGCTGGGTACTACTTTATAATATGTTATAATTGCGGTTTATGCCTAAATTCAGACTTGGGTTCATGTATAGTTATATATCAGCTGTGCTAGCTATTTGATATATTTAGACTAAGTTCATTAGCAAATCAATTAAATGGAAAGAAAGGCATAGAAAGCAACCATGGATACCAGAGACAATGTGGGAGGAGGGTGGGACGTGGCAGAGGGCGAGGGATAGGGAATCAAAGATGGCAAAACGAAAAACAAAGTATACAAGACATAAGAATTGGAAAATTATTTGCTAATAACATGCATGTTGATGTGCTTGATTGAGCCAATATACAGTGTATTTTGTATGGAAAATCCATCTGTATGCTGTAATTATGTATAGTGAATTAATGTAAAAAATAAATAAATTTAAAGAGAAAAAAAAAAGAACCTTACAATTGAAAATGCACATAGGCCATACACATGCCAAGTGAGTCGGGGACAGGGCTGATTCCCTAGGGAACATGTGCACATACATTCATGCGTGCATGTGTATAAATATGTTTAAATGATCTCTGTAATCACTGTGAATTTTTTTTAAACTTTGGGAATCAATAACATGATGAGAGACTACTAAATCTCATCCTTCAAAATTTCTGGTTGTGAAACAAAACATGACTACAAGAGATTAACCAAAAAATTTTGGAATCTCTAAAGTCTATATAGAAATATATGTAGGGACCAGTAGGGGGCATGGTGGTTAAGGTGCTGGACTCCCACACGGCTGACCATAGTTCAAGTCCTGGACCTGGCATCCTGCTTTCTCACTTTCTCTCTCTCACTTGCTCTCTGGTGAGCTGGTAAGCACATGTGTCCTATAGCAAATTAAAATAATAAAATATAAATAACTAAATTAAAAAAAAAAAAAAAAAAAAGAAAAAAGAAAAAAAGAAAAGAAACATGCCTATAAAGAACTTACTCCTGGGAACCAGCAGTAAGCGTAATGGCTACGTTGCTGGACTCCCATGTAGTCGACCGCGGTTCGCGTCCCAGACCCGGTGGCTTAAAACTCACGCCGGGCGCATGTGCGTGCGTGCCCAAGATCCTGAGAGGAGAATGGAGAAGGGATTGTGGCGTGACCATCACCCCTGGGGGGGTGATTTCTCGCTTTCTGCCTCTCTTTCTCTGTCTGGCGAGCGCACGCACCCTATAGCGAAAACCTCTACAAAAAAACCAAACCAAACAAAACAAAACAAACTTACTCCTAATCACATATGCCTCACATTTCACGTTCCCTGTACCTATCATATAAGAGCTGTCTTCACAACTTACTCATGTTTGCTTTCACATTTAATAATTTTTATCTGAATAATCACTAAAAGTTTAATAAATCACTTTTAAAAAATTCTGAATACAGTATTATAATTAACTTACACTGTGGATTTGAAAAGTAGGAAAATTTGGTATGCTGCTCTTATATTTATTCCAAATTATTTCCCCTATTAAGAACCATCACTTTATGTCTTTGCATGTATTTCTAGAAACAAGAGATGACTTTCAAAGCTAAATGAATTATCTCCAAGATCCAAACACATTCAAGATTTTTCTCACAGGAAAATTCAGTTCTACTACATTATATTAATTCTCACTAACAATGGCAAAAGATAACGAGCTTTGTTGATTTGCAGGTACAAGGAGATTGTCTACTTTAATTCACAATTTAGGTCAGAACTGCTCATAATCTCTCAGAATGTATAATTAAAACGATAAACTACTGTGATGGGACTCTAAAATTTCTAAGTCACTGAGCTTTAAATCAAGAAGTGCTAATATTTATAAAAGTTAGTGACCTTTTAGGCAAAGAAAAAAAAGTAAAAGAAATGAACAAATGCTCTTGGAATTCAGAAGGAAACAAAATGAACTATGATGCTGAGAGAAGTTAAGCCAGAGAAGGAATCAAGGAGAAGAAAAGGATTTCAGATAGAGTCTAAGAATACTTACAATTAAGGAAGATCAACAGTTTTATACAAATCAGGAACTAAGAGCATTTGCAATGTTTTTGTGAGTTTATCTTGTAAAGAAAAGGTTATTACAATGGCCCAGAAAGGTTACTTTCCTTCTCAAAGGAGCCAGAGCCACACCCAGGTCTCCTGACTCCTAGCAATGCTCCATAATGCCACGCTTGCTCTGACTGCTGTATGCTGAAAGTTCAGAGCTGCTTTTAAACTCTCAAGTCAGCAACACAGCTTCAGAAGGGGCCCTATTCAGAAATTCAGATCTTGAAATAATAAATAAGGGGATACAATCCCTTTCCTTTGGCCAATGCAAGGATCTTATGTACAAAGAATAAACTCTATGCCAAGATCATATGCTGAATTCTCACTCATTTCCTCTTTTCTGTATTTATACTTACCAATTTATCAGTCCCATGATCTGTCTTCACCTCAGAACTAAGTGGAAGAAATAAATCTGTTGTATGCTCTGGGGGAGTTATCTCCCCAAGAACTATCAACCCCTGTAGGACAAAGAGGAGAAAAGCAGCATAAGTGAGTGGTATCAACTACAAATTTAATTTAGGAATTAATCTCACAAAGGGCAGAGGTTGGTTAACACAGGTCTTACCCTCATCATGTGATTCAAACCCAAACTATACCCATCTGCAGCTTTGCTTTCCCAAAGAGTTATTTTAACAAAAGCCTAGCAACAGCAGGGTATTCAGTAAAGCACAAGACTCAGCCCAAGCCTCCCCTCTTTTCCACTTGAATGCTCTGACCTACATGGCTTGTCAGCCATTTAGCATGTTTTATTCAGGTCTTCCAGACCTTGAATCTTTATCAGATGATGATATTTTATATCATTATATTATCTTAGCAAAAGAGTCAAATGGATTAAGAGCAACACAGTTTTTTCCTAGTTAACATAATCACAAATGTGGTTTAAGGAATAGTAAACTGAAAGTGCTACATCTGCAAATGATTAAATCAATCAATTGCACCTGAGCAAACAAAATAACTTGGTGAAACAAAACTGGTACAGACCATGCAATTTATTTAGAAACTAAGAACTTCTTAAACACCTCACTTAAGTTCCACCACGAATGAAAGAAGTGCCAAAATAAGGCTATGATACTGTGACAGAAAGACTAGGGTGCAAGTCCCAGTTTCAGTCTCTTTTCCTGTTCTTAACCATAAGGCTTCCTAAGCTAGATTAAGCCTCTCTAAATGAAAATCGTGTATCAGAATCATATGGAAAGTCTTATCAAATTTTATCTTCCCAGGTCCAAGTCAGTATTTCTACAGGTAGGGCTGGTTATTCTACATTAAACAAACAAACAAACAAACAAAACAAACAAACAAAAAAAAAGAAAAGAAAAGAAAAGGAAAAAAAAAAAAAAAAACCTCTCCAGGAAAATTCTTAAGAGTAAACACCAAGTTGAAAAGCACTAGACTTGACCAATCCTGGCTCTCAATTAGCGTCTCGTAGAGAACATCCTAAAGTACACACTTAAGGTATAAGAGATTTTGACTGTATTACATGAACTCCATAGGCCATAATGACATAGACTCTTTCTTGTGAGCCATTGAACCAGATGATCTGTTTCTGGGATCCTTTCTGACTCAAAAATCTGTATGAAATAGGGAATGTGAAGAGATGAAAAGGGAAATAAAAATGAGGGGGCCAGCAGGTGGCATGGTGGTTATGGGTGCTGGACTCCCACATGGCCAACTGCAGCTTGAGTCCCAGACCTGGCGGCTTGCTTTCTCACTTTCCCTCTCTTTCTCACTGTCCTACTCATTCAAATTAAAATAAATAAAGTTAAATAAAACAATTCTTTAAAAAAGAAAGAAAAATGAAATTTTATTTGAGCATTTAAAAAGTAAAACAGAGTATACCTTGTTTCTCCTAAAGCAAGACATCTATTTATTCTGGTATAAAACTGTTCCTAGCCTATGTAGAAAATGAAGTGGATAAAGGCCACTAATAAAAAAAAAAAAAATGTTCACCCTAACCTTACAAAGTGAGTTTCTCTGGTTAAATGAACTTCTACTCTTAAAATATTTTTTTTTTCTGTCAATCACAAGCATAAAATAGAACTAATGAACTTTACTATTTTAAAGTAAAAACTACTTGCAAAAAGCAGTTGTCTTGTACACTACTGCCTTCTCAACATACTGCAACAAAGGGCCCCTGCTTAAGAGCCCAGGCTTCCCATTTCCTGTATAACTTAAGCCCAAACTCATCGTGATATTCAGTCTCCCATAATCTGTCCCTATCTTATGCTCTTAGTTATACTCGCCTCATTATCTCTTAGACTAATATCTCAATGTATATAAAGTTGCTGTAGGGGATTATTAGTAAAGTATAAGGTAAAAATAAACTGAATTAAAGGTTATAATACTACCCCTTTCCTATGTCTTTGCTCATACCAAGTTTTTCAATTTATCTGTCATAAGTACATTCATCCTTCCAAACAACTTTCAAGTCAAAGTCTCATTTCCTTCCCCCCCCCCCAAAAAAAAGCCCCTGGCTAACTGAGTCCCTACTTGCCCCAACCTTTTTTCCTACTGCCAGAGAGTGAATGAAACAAAGAGCATCCTCCAATAGTGCCTGGTCATCCTGCAATCCTTCTACCTCCATTTCTTCACCCCAAGGATCCTGGGTTCACACATATATGCCCAGCATGGTGTTGCTGCCAGGAACACAGATGGTCACGTGGGATCCAGCCTCCTTTGCACAATGCCTAACTAACCGCTGTGAAATGGAGCTGGTCCAAGTTCCTACTTGCTTTATCCACATTGCCAGACTTCCTGAAGTGTGGTGATGTATCTTACATTCTATGTATGTATATCTCATTTGCAGAGCAGAATCTTAAGCCAATTTATTTCCTTTATTATTGTCTCAAGATGTTGTTTAAATATTAACTAATGATATGTGCCCTGAATATTGGGGGGGGGGCAGGGGGGAATACAAATATACTGGAATTCTTCATATCCCCTAGCAGAATCATATACCAGAAAAAGTAACAAGAAATGAATATTTTGTTGAGTTTGATGTTAAATTATTTACAATAATTAAAGCCAGAAGCTATATAATACAGCCATTGGCACGAAATGTCTCCATTTCCCCCACAACTGACAAAGGGCATATGCACTGGCCAGAGGCAGAGAAAGCACCACACACCCCCAGTGGGGTGTGGTCATGCCATGATCCTTTATCCTTCATTTCTCCTATCAGGATTTTTCTATCAGAATGTGTGCATACATGAGCCTTGCGTGTTTTTCAAGCTGCTGGGACTGAGATTTGAACCACAGTCAGTCACATGGGATCCAACATGAGCTTTCCCAGCACTCTAGGTTTAAACTGGATCAATTTCACATGGCTTAACCCACTGTGCTGAGTCAGCTCTCTGATTTCTTTTTTTTAGGTGTATGAAAATTAGGACACAACAGCCAATATTTCCCCGAGGGAAAAAAAATTTCCCTAAACTGTAATTTTTAAAAATGCACCTCAGGTAGACTATGAAGAAACCCTCTTAAGAAAGCAATATCAGATGTGGTAAGGACTATGTATTCTCCATCACTGTACAGACCAAAAGAAGATGTGAATTAAAAGTTTCTATTTCTATAGGTTAATCTTTGACAGTACTGAGGCTAAAGTCTAGGTCTAAATATTGTTTTTTCTTTTGTGTATCTAAATCAATTACTCATTTACTCATCAAACCCCCTCCTATTTTTGGTGCTGGGGATATACTGTAAGAAAAATTTAATATTCTCTCCCCCACCCAACCTTCCTTCATCTCTCAAAGTACTTAATATTCTAACACGGGTAAAGGCAGACAACACACAATATGAATAAATACATTATATGTACTAGAAGGTGCTGAATGCTAAAAAGAAACAAAGAGAATTAAGAAGTGGGAGTATTCTCTCTTTTTTTAAAGAATGATTTTACTTGGGACCAGCAGGTGACATGGTATTAAGGTGCTGGACACTCCTACATGGCTGACCGTGGTTCAAGTCCTGGACCTGGTGGCTTGCTTTCTCACTTTCTCTCTCTCTCTCTCTCCTCTCCCCCCTACCCTGGCCAAATTAAAATAAATGAATGATTTAATAAAATTAAATAAATAATTTTAAAAATAAATAATTATTTATTTTAATTTGACCAGAGAGAGAGAGAGGGAGTGGAGAGAGAGAGAGAATGCGAGAAAGCAAACCTCCAGGTCCAGGACTTGAACCACGGTCAACACCATGTGGGAGAGTCCAGAACCCTTAACCACCATGCCACCTGATGCCTGGGAGTACTATTTCTTATAAGGCAATCAAGGTAAAGTGCACTGAGAAAGTGACATTTGAGAGAATACTTGAAAACATAAACAGGGACCAGCAGATGGCATAATGGTATTATCACTGGATTCACATGTAGTCCAACTGCCATTCTGAGTCCCACACCCCAGTGACTTAAAACTCATGTCATGTACATGTGCGTGCATGCCCAAAATCCCAAGGAGAATCGAGGAGGAGGAATTGTGGCATGGATATCCCCCTGCAGAGGGAGAGTGACTTCTCACTTTCTGTCTGTCTCTCCGTTCCCTATAGCAAAAATTTTTCTTAAAAGTTTTTTTTTCTTCAAAATTAAAGGGCCAGTAGGTGATGTGGTGGTTAAGGCACTGGACACTCCCACATGGCCAACCACAGTTTGAGCTCCAGACCTGGTGGCTTACTTCCTCACTTTCCTCCTCTCTCTGTGTCTGCCTTTCTCTGGTCAAATTAAAATAAATGAATGAATAAATAAAATTAAATAATTAGGGAAAAAATATACGTAAAGAAATTTGGGGCTATCTAGGGGAAGAGCACCATGCAAAAGTTTCAAGGTTGGAGGAAACCTGATGACAAAAAGAACTGTAAGGAACCTGGTATGACTGGAGTTAACTACATGAATGGAGGCTATGATAGAAACTGAAGTTAGAGAGGAAAGGTGAGGGAGGATCTTATAGGAGGAAACTGCATACGTTGGGCATACATTCTCAGATGTGAAGTAATTGTAGATGTTTAATTAAGCAGGAGGGAGAAATGATCTGATTTATGATTTAAAGAGATCAATTAGGTATTGTGTTGATGGACAGAGAATAAAGGAAGGATGACAAGGCAAAGAGAAAAGTAAAAGCAACAGCTGCTGGGACCAAAGTGGTTAGACACTGGAAATACATATGAGAAGACAGAATATACTGGCTGTGCAAATGTGCTTATAGGATGGAAAGGAAGGGAGTTAAACCCTGCCAAGATTTTTGGCCTCTACAATTAGAAGAAATGGAGCTTCTCTTAATCTGTCCAGGCCTTTGAATGCACATTAGTTTTAGTTGAATCCGTTTTTCCAGATGTGTGCTGAAGTGCTATAGTTATGTAAGTAATTCATCCACACAATGCCTCCCCTAAGTTCATGCTGGCATGTAAAACCAAACACTAGAGTGCTTAACTTATACTGTACCTTACACAAAAAAGCACGAAAAGAGCTAAA